CCCAACACCGACTAAATACTACATAAAAATCTTTCCGTGAAAAATGTAATAAAATTTAAAATTTATGACAAATTAAATTTATTATTTATCATCTCAAGTTATACATAAAAAAAGCAGGAAACGGAAGTACTTCAATATTCTGTATTAAAAATGGCCACTCATATATAATAGCATCTCTGAATAATTTATTTAAACAATTAAGAAGTGATTACGTTTAATGGTTTTGTTTTGCGAAATTCGTCATTGAGTTATAAGTGCTATTAATAATACATATTTTGCGAAAAATAAAGTTCTTTAGAATTCTCTATTCACGAAGATTGCTATTTATCGAGTACCCTTTTTAGATTTTATTTGTTAATTGCATATCGATTACAAGATATCCTCGTCATTGAATTATGAGTGTTGGTTGGTAGAAGGTAAGAATTCTATTTAAATTGCTTTTTTTTTTAAATATTAATTAATTCAAAAATAGACGAAAGTTATTGACAAGTAATCTACCGATTTCTAAATATCAACGGATCTTCTTCATAAGATGTGAACTTCTATTTAAGTTGAAAAATATGTAGATGTTATAAGCTTGTAGAGCAGTAAACTGTTTACAGTAATTGTATTAAGGTTAATTGTATTAAGGCACCTAATTGTATCAAGGTGCTTTAGAAGTATATTAGGTTCTAACTTAAAAAAGATGAGCTGGCGACATTTTAGTAGTTTTTTGTGCACCAACATTTACATAAAATTATAAAACTGTTATTTTTGTCGTTCAATTAAATTGTCTTAATGTGTTTTTCTTCCAGAAATTAACTATCATTAAATACAAATTAACTATAGGAAGCATCTTTTATCTTTGTTTAGTAGTAAATAATATACACATAATTTTTATCCGATAAAAGTTACTGTTATTTTTGTTTTAGTTATATTAGTTATGCAGTTTCATGTGGCACCCACAAAAAATATAAAAACTGGAGTTTTGTAATATATGACGTTCCCCTAATTCATTGTTTTACTTCAGGGTTGAGCTTATATTTCAGCTTACAAGATGCATGAAATATTTTATTAGGACACGAGAAAGAAAAATAAGGTAGTAAATGTTGCGTTAATGGGAAGGAACGTTAGTGAAAAAATAAACAGTTCCGTTCAGTCCAAATGACTGGTTTGCTGTTAATATAAAAACTGTTTGTATTATCTACGTGATAAAACGTTCACCTTTCAATTATATAACAGATTGGTGAAGAGCTCGTGTGCATTGAATTGAGAGCTCTTCAGCATGGATTTCTTAATTTATTTTCAGATGATAGAAATAATTTATTCTTAAAAATAATGTGAGCAGACTGAAACGACAAGAAATCGCTCGACGTTTCCGATTACTTCAGCACTTACTAGACAAACGGTCTAAGCTTCCAATTAATTGCAAAACACTCATATACATGACTATAATAAGGCCTATTTGGACTTACGGTGTTGAGCTATGGAGCTCCACAAAATCATCGAATTCTTCTCGTATCCATCGTTGCAATCCAAAATACTTTGTAAAATCCTCAATGCTCCCTACTATGTTACAAATAAAACCATCCATAACGACCTTAATGTTTCTTATGTTTCAGATCTGGCCCAGTCCAGATACCTATCTTTCCATAATAAACTTCAGAATTGTCCCAATCCTCTCGTTTCTAACCTTGCTTCGTTTTCAATTCCTGATAACATTCCGAGATGTCTGAAAAGAAGATGGTCCCATGATTTCCTAAAGTAGACATATTATTAGAATGCTGCAATCGGGTAGTTTCTCAACCAGTTTTTTCACGTCATTATATCCATATGTTCAAATTTACTTAATGTATTTCTTTAATACAGTGGTAAATATCATTCAGAAATAAAAATAAATAAATATGAGATAAGTCATCGCTAGCATTTATTAATATTAATATTATTTATTAAAATTTTAATATTCTATAAATATATACCTAATATAACTGTATCTTAATTTCACAAGCCCTAACAGCTCTGTTTTAGTATTTAATAAGCCTAACTCTTTTTATTTGTATTTATCAAGTTTAAAAATTGTAGGCTAAAAATCTCAAAATATTGCATCAAATTTACTTTTTATTTTGAATTTTAAATAATAAAATCTAATTCTTATATATTTCCCATTAATATGACGAGGAAAAGATTTGTCTCTGTTGGAATGAAATGTGGCTATCTTAATATGTGTTTAGGTTACGTTGGTGGGATTTTGTAAAAATAGTTATTTTGTAAAAACTATTTTTAAGAATATCATTATTTCCGAATATAATATAAAATATTATTATATCCGAATTCACATTGTGATACATTCTTCTATGAGTGAAGTATCACAGTCAACAATTCAAAGAATATATGTATATACTCTGTTAGTAGTCCTGATATCTGAATTGACCTTTAACAAGTGGGATACACTAAACTCAATTTTTGGAGTTCTCCATTAATCACCAGTTTATATTTTTCGTCTTTAAAAAAAAAAAAAAAAAAAAAAAAAAAAACGGCTTGGCTCTGATTGTTTCTATAAAGATAAACTTCTGTACAGTTTTCAATTTTGATTCTCTATTAAAAATGTTTTATAAAATTTCAGTCTCTGATTATGACGATTAAACTATCGTTTGATTTTGCCTTGTGTGCAGAATGTCATTCATTGTTTTGTTTTATAGGAATTGAAGCCATTGTGTATAAAATATTTGTAGATCTTAAAAAAAAAAATTAAAATTGATCCTTATTGGTTTGAAAAATTTATTAACTGATATTCTGGTAATTATTGTACTTTTGGGTAGTCCTATGGAAATTATGGTTTTTACTTAAATAAAATAAGTCGGATTCGAAGATATTTTTGGAAAGACAGTAGGTATATATATATATATATATATATATATATACATATATATATATATATATATATATATTCATTTATAAAAATTATTTAAATATATTAGAGTAAGAGATAAATGTTATGACATTTAAAAGCCATAAAATGTTCAGATATACTAACATATCGTTAATACCAAATATATTTCCAAGGACTTTTCGAATTCCTAGAAAAACAAAACGTCAATATCGTATATTATACTGTCGAGGACGTGTGTTTATTAATGAATATTTTGGGGGGGAAATTTAGCTTTCTATGTTGAAAAAACTTGAAACATTTTGTTGTTGTCATTCTTTCAAATTAAAAAAAATGTAGTAAATGTACTGTTATTTTTTAATCATTTTTTGTTGTTACAATATTATTTTACATTCCATACAGTTCTAATCGATACGGGTCATCGTTATGATAAGGTCATCGTTGTTGTTTTTATTTTGATAATAATTAAAAAAATGGCAAATATGCAATGTTATCTTTTTATTCCAAATATAGTTCGATAAAATAGACAAACAATTTTTTTCATGTGTTATTTTGATGACGTATCTTTGATTAAATTTTTTGAAAAGTGTATTTGATGACTGTCTGTTAAAAATTATGCACTGGGCAGATCAGTCTCAATTATTATAAATTTGTAATTTTTAAAACTTATATTTTTTATTCATAAAAATTTTGTTAATGTTTTTACTATAGAAACATTGGTTAATTATTTCAATGTCAGTGATTATCAAGAGCTACTGTAATATTTTGTTTTTACTATATTTAACAAAATATGAATTTTTTCATGATCAAGATCCTTTTCTTTGACTTTTTTCAGAATCAAAAAAATTGTTTTGTTTTTTTACATAGGTAGTTTTTAGTGTTGCCCAAATGCGAGACCGAGATGAGTCTTGATCTTGCAAACTTAGTCTTGGTCATGGTCTTGGTCTTGCGCAAGAGCCTCGCATCATTCTTGCAGCTACTTAGTAGCTTATTATTATAGAAATATGACTGTAATTTTTTAGAAAGGAGAAACCTAACTAAGCCCGAATGAAAAATTAGAGGAGTTAAATGTAAAATTATATTGGTTATACCAATTATTAACACATTGCAACAGTTTGGCGGCTTTGGTCTTGGTCTTGCAAGACCATGATCGATTTTGGGCAACACTAGTAGTTTTTGTGATCTATACCATATTTCAACATTGAGATACCATCTAGTAAATCATAGGGTAGAGGTCCCTTATTCTGATTTACATGGTAAAACTCAGCGTTATTTATTCATTTGACTGTAAAATCAAGTATATATTAACATTCGGATAATTTTACAGGAATATATACAAATTTGAAGTCCAGTTCTATACTAAAACAGAAAAAAAATTAAAAATCTTACGTCTTAGGATTCGATATTTTAAGATTGAAAATATGCATCGATATATAAAGCGTATCGATATATGATCTTCGTTCACGAGGTAGTCACATTGCCAAGGCGTGCCTTCAAATAGTGAATTATGGGATACCTGACTTTTTTCACAGTTATTCTTAATAAAACTGTGACAATCATATTTTTATAAAATATTTAACGTTGCAAATAATTGGTCTTTTAAACATTTTTTTCTCCTCATGTACTCAAAGTATGTAATGGTGATAACCTATACTTACCTATTTTACAATTTTTCTTTTCTTTTCTTCTTATCAACATGCCTCCTATATCTTTAACTTTTATCCTCATCCATGCAAGTGATAGGCAATATGCATGAAACGTTAATACAAGGATCTTTCATAGAATTTATTTAATAATAAAAATAAATAAACCAAGATTAAAAAAAAAAAACAGTTTTTTCATTCTTGATATTTTTATTTTAATTATTTAATGAAATTTACAACTGTATAAACAATACAACTAGTAAAAATGCACACATTAGAAATCATGACATGAACGAACTTTTGAAGAGATACTGCTCAGTGGTAGCACTCCCCTATCGAGGCCATCTTCTTTTCAGACGCCGGGGGGATTATTAGGAATCGAGGAAGAAGCAAGGCTGGAAACAAGTGGATTCGGATGGGACTGGATTTTATCATGAAAGGATAGGTATCTGGCTCGGGCTAAATCAGCGGCATATGGAACATTAGGTCTTTATGAATGGTTTTATTTGAGACAAAATATGGACCATTAAGGATTTAACGAAGGATTTTGGATTGTAAGGATTGGATAAGATAGGAATTCGATGGTTTGGTAGAACCCCAAAGCTGAACTCCGTATGTCCATATAGGTCTTATTATGGTTAAGTAGATAAGTCTTTTTTAATAAATTGAAAGTTTAGAGCGTTTGTCTAATAAGTGCTGGAGCAGCCGGAAACGTCGAGCAGTTTCTTGTCGTTTCAGTCTAGTATGCGGATATTAAGTAAGACGTTTATCCAAGTGGAATCCTAGGTAGCGGATTTGTTCAACAGGAACAAGTGGAATATCATTGATATCATTGGAACATCATTGTAGAATATCATTGGAATATCATTGTAGAACAAGAAGTTGAAGGTTTACGACTATACTTAATAAAAAATCAAATACCTTCATCATTGCATTTATTTGATTATGCGACCTAACCATTCGTAATGACAGTTCCGTAGCTTAATGCCTAAGACGAAATTGCCTTGCAATAACTTAATAACGGTTATCCAATAATTTGAAATCCGAATTAGTTTGGTCAGTAGTGCTTGGTGCTTATGATTGGCCAATCCGATCGGTGGCGGACCAATCGGAATTTCGCCATCGAGCGGTAATAAGGTGATTAGGCCGGTAATTAAAAGCCGGTTTGTCGGCCGTCCAATGGCCCCTGAGCGGCCGGCATGGGCAGCGCTTGCGGGTCTGTTTGCGGTCGTTCGCTGATGGATTGTCGGCGAGGATGTGGATGGCAAATCCTATCGGATCGGTTAATTGTCTGCTCCATCCTCTCATTTGCATAAATGCATCAGATGAAGTGTCAACAATCATATTTATCGCCTATTAAGCTCTTCGCTTATCTTCGTTCCTATCTGCCCTTGAACTTATCGCGCTCTAAGGCCATTATTTTTTATTATCTATTTTCTCTTCGCCAATTAACACGACAAATTATTGGAAACAATTATATAATTCATACACTTCGAAGGTTATTTTAGTTAATTACTTAATTCGTGTGAGAAACTCAATGAGATGAAAGTTAAATAAATACGGTTATAATAATTGAGGAAATTTGCAGTTTTGATATAATTACATGACTTATGTTTAATTGTTCTTGTTATTGGACTCACTTAAGATTATTTTATATTGGTATATTTTCAGTCTGTATTGATACGTAACTTGAAGAGTTGTCTGTTTGAATGCTTTAATTTTAGAAAAATACCACTGAGTAAAAAAAATTTTTATTAGTTTTATTATTTTATTTTTATTTAAATAAAAAAGGATTATTTATTTAAAAATAATAATATTTTTCAAGACCTTTCCAAGATTTATCGACCAATAAAAATAAGTGATTTCATCTGTAGTCTGTGGTTGGGTTTAATTTTAAAAGGTTTTTACTATGTATGGTTATGAGGAATTCTTAAAAGAAAGAACTGGATTCTTATTAATTAATATTGTTTAATGATAATCAATTATATTATTGACAAACGTTTTTTTATTATTTTCACTATTGTTTAGAGTTATACTCTTTATTAATTATTTAAGTATCTGAAGTATCTATTGTAGTTAGGAAGGATTTAATGAGAACAGCATGAGATTTTTATGGGATACTAACAATGCAAATTTAATAGTTAGTAATGGATCAGTTGTGCTATCAAATATTACCTTGAGCAATTGGTAAAGGTATCGCTGTACTTCCACCGAACTGACATTTGACTGGAAGAGATCGAAGGGGCACTCGAGTAAAAACTGACTTAACTCAAGGACCGGTCTCTGCTTCGTCACTTCCCAAGTCCTTTTTTAGGTTCTCTTATTGTGAAGTACCTGACAAAAGCCGTTATAAAATATTCGATTCTTTTTTTTTTAATGTAAAAGTCATGAGTATTTTCACCGTTGGAAAGTTTAGAAATTCGATTGGTTCCATGATAACGTGGATGATTCGAAAAGTAAATTCATTACTAATATTTTGTTTCTTTATTTTATTTCTTACTTACCAAGGACGCAATGTATATTGCCTAGCAATTATAATAACCATGTTTAATTTAAATCTTTGTCTATACAAAATCCGTTCGAGTAAACTCCACATGCAAGATCATTTATGTGTCCGTGGTACAGACCCCTTTTTATCAAATTATTAAAATCCGCTTGAAAATTCGTGAACAGTTTCATCTCATCGTAACCTACAACTATTCTATTTACGAAAACTCTAGAAATTGGGGCGTTTTCAATCTGGAGGTCGGCAAAATTTGTCTATTTAATTAGGTATTAAAATTTTAAAAAATCAAGAAAATATTGGGCCGTTTAGTCTATAAAACCTCGTTATATTGCAGCTGTCGGTCACGCCACTTTTTTTCTCTAGTTTGTGCTCAAGTTATCTCGCGACTCAAGTGGAAAACAAATCAGTATTTACGAGTTTTTAGTACCTAATTAAATAAACAAAGTTTGTTGATTGAAAACGCCCCAATTTCGGGAATTTCCACAAATAAAATATTTGTAGGTAACGATGAGATGAAGCTATTTACGAAGTTTCAGGAGAATGTTAATAATTTGATAAAAAGGTACCTCGGACCATATTTCCATTAGAAAAAAATAAAAATAAATAAAATACAATTCAATCAAACAGTATCAGATCTACGGATAAATTGCTGTATATAAAGAACATAAAGATAAATAAGTAAACATAAATATATCAATAAACTTTTTAATATACTTTTGAGTAATTATATTTTTTTTTTGTGTAATTATACGACTTAGCTTTATGAAGTTGTTATATAGTACCTAAATATTAAAAAGTTCTCAAAACAATATTAAAAATGGTTTTCAGTTCAGCCCAAAACTTTGTTTTTAATCTACTATGGTATACAAAAAATTAATTAAGTTGTTAACCAAAAGTAATTTTAGGTTGATTTTTCTTTGTTATATCATGCCTTTATTTTGTAGTTTTCAAAAACAGTTGAAAATAAAAAAAATAAAAAAATAAAAAATAAAATAAAGAGTAAGTATATAACTTATGAGATACAATTAGTCGCAATAATAAAAATAAAGATATATCAGGAAATCGGATTTAAATAAAATTATTTACTTCTTTCCACATATTTCTTTACTCCTTTTTTTAAATATAAGCACAAAAAAAAATTCATTAGTACAATACTCTGACTATAAAACGACGCAGTTAATAAGTACCATTTGCTATTAAAAAAACAGCTTTATACTTTTGTGCTATTTTAGTATAAATGTATCCAGAAATATTTAACCTATTATTTTTCTTTTAACTATTCGAGACCTTCATTATTCATCAAATATCTGATAGTTTATTGTTTTATCTCCTTCATTAACATACATCACAAGATATTTTCCGACTATGAGTATAAACACTAATTATTTGCAATAAATTAAATCGAAATTAATTTTGCAATAATTAATTAAATGCAATATAGCATAATAATTTATAGTATTTATTGTCTACGAGTTCAACAAATGCATTTGTAAATCTAATTTAGTAAATGGACTCCGTTCAGCTTTTGATATATGTAGTCAGCTTTACAAGTATTTTGTATCTAGAAATCTCATTTGTTCATGCTGTCCAGAATTGTACAAGTGTCTTCAGAAGTTTAAGTATTCGTTTTCACTTATCTTTGTCTAGTCGAGTTTGCAACTGTTATTGCCAACTTTGCCTGCATCGAGGTGTTCATGGCCCGGAGTATTCGGAATAGCATGTCGAAGTGTAGATTAGGTTATTACGAAGGGAAGATCTTGGTTAGCGGTTACTTGCAATCCCTATGTACACTATGTACAGAAATACTTTTTGAACAAAGTTTATCCAACATTTTAGTGATTTTTTTCCAGTTCCTAACTGAATTTTATGCTTGCCATTTGTGAATTGTCACGCACGCCCTCTGTCATTTAAAAAAATTATCCAACTATTGAACAACTTCTCGGAAGGCTACTGTGACAGTCCCTGGGTTCCCTATAATTAGCAGAAAGCTACATTTCAAGACGTTGTAAACTTGTAGTACGATGAGCAGCTGCTACCTGACATCGGACGCGGTGGGGATGGTCCCTTTGAAGGTTGTGAAAGACGAGAGTTTGTGGATCCTCTTTGAACAGGGCCTCCCAGGTATGCGGAACGGAATGAAACAAGATCCAAAGCGTCAGCGATTTAGGGGAGGTAGTTGCCAGATTTGGTAAAAAAAAAGTGTATTGAAATGGTTCCTAAAAAATATTTCATTAGTTCTTATTAAAAATAATTTCAACTAATGCTATTCTGTTATTGAAATAAGATAATCGGCTATTCTATATACCATGGGTGATATATTTTTATTGTTAATGTTTCAACCAAACCTTGTAAGTCTTCATCATGGCTGAAAAATTTATAACATCAGAGATGTAATATTATACAACAGATAATACTTGTGGGTCATCTTCAAGATTGAAAAATTGTATTATCTGTTGCATAATATTACATCTCTGTTATAATTTTTTCAGCCTTTATGATGACCCACAAGCTTGGGTTGAAACGTTGGCAATAAAAATCTTAACTTTGTAAGACCGAGAACATGACCGCCTGACGGTTTGCAAGACCAAGACCAAGACTGGTTAAAAAAGAAAAGAAAAATAGTTATTGTGAAAAAAAATTAAGGCAAAATAGCTAATAATAGTTGACAATTTTAGTTACTATAATTAAAGAATTGGTATAACCAATATACTTTTGCATTTAACTCTTCCAATTTTTCATTCGGGTTAAGTTAGGTTTCCCCTATCTGAAAAATCTCAACAGTAATAGGCTAATTGGTAACTACAAGACTGTTGCGAGACTCTTACGCAAGATCAAGACCAAGACTGAGTCTTTGAGTGACTATCTATCACCAATAATATTATTTTTATCTTTGAAGTTCACTTATCTTTTCTTTTTTTTTTTTTTTCTTTTTTTCCTACTCCCCAGGAATTTCTTGGTTATAAATACAATATATATATAAAAATGTATATATACATAAATTTTCAAATTTCCTTTTATTGCCCAAGGGCATTTTAAGGTAAGAGGGCTATGCACGCTGTATGCGTTCTTTGCATCTGTGGCCAGAGGCCTTTTATTATACCACTGGGCGTGGAGGGACCGCCCTGCATTAATTTATTATTTATATTATAGTTATTGCTTGTGAACTACAGAGTCCAAACCCCTTCCCTCGGCGAGTTCACTTATCAAGAAACAGAAACAGAAACGATTGGCGATGCTTCATACTTTACCCCAACTGTTTTTTGTTTTTTTACCCCAACTGCTTATCAAGAAACAGTTGGGGTTAAGTATGAAGAATCGCCAATCGTTTGTGTTGAGTAGAGACTATCTTCAGAATATTATGTTGTATATTAAAATTAACGTGTTTGGCTGATATCTCTTTTACGTTGAATGTGTTAGGGTGAGGGTTGCTATCTTATGTGAGTGCTCTCACGGCTATACTAGTTGCATTCTCAATTTTATAATCAACATTTTATTGTTTTTAATTTAAATAATCGTAGGATGTCAGTCGACTGTTCTAAGTGCAATCGCTGTCTTCAAAGGTAGCTTGTGGGTCACCACGACAACGTTACCGGTGTTCAAGTACTCTACTTACAGTACTTGAAGTACTACTTGAAAACCTTCAGGGCTGAGTTACATGTCCTGAATATCACCCACAAGTTTAGGTTGAAACAATAGCGATATATATCTAAAAAAGCTGTCTTAATCCATGATAATGACAGTTCAGTTTCCTTCTTGTTATATTTAACAAGTCCTACATAATATTAGTTTTCAAATTTCGAAAATATTACAACGCCGTGGTTTCAGAAGTTTGGTGGAACATAATTTCTTGAATTGGCTCATAAAACTGGGTTTGTGCCTTGCTTGCCTTGGGAGACCTGCAGTCTAAGGCCGCAGGGAGTGTTTGGACCGTAGAGAAATTTTTAGAAGAACTGGTATTGATTGTCATGTAATTTAAATATTTTTATGAAAAACGCAATATGTCTCGACGGATTATATTTTTTAATAAGATTAACGATTTTTTAATTCTGATTCAACGTAATAATAATTAAAAAAGTTGTATGGGATATACAGTCACGTAGGGAAAAACATATGAATAAATAAATTTTCTTTAATATGCATCAACGTTTTGTCCTGATTTGTAAACCTCCATTAGGATTTTGTTATGTATCTTTAGGGGTTTCGAACTTATTGAGGAGGGCATGATGTAGTTGAGATTATGAATTTTCGGGTGGAACCTTATTTTTTGGGATCAAAGAGAAATATCTCACTACTATTCATTTATCTTAACAACAGAACTAAATAGAACTGGGTTTCGTGGTGCCATAAACCAATTTTAAGCGGGCATATTTATACATGGTCTTGAAATTTTTAGGGGGCATAATTTTAGTTGGATTATGGATTTCATGAAGGAACCATACTTCTTATTAGTTTCAATTTGGAAGAGCTTTCAAACCAAGGAATAAGGGAAAAACATAGAACATCCACAGTAAGTATAATTGCATATGGTGTCTTTAATTTTTCTTATTTTATTTTCGCTTATACGAAGAGTACAGCGAATAAAGTTCTTGGATGTGCCATGCTGCCTTGTCCTTGAGGAGAGAATGAGCACTATGCCTGACACTGATATATCTTTCATTTTTCTCTGTGTCACTATGTCCCTCTTTCCTCTATCTTGTGTTGTAATTATCATCATAAAAATTTTCATTTCCTTTGTCATCTTATTATATTACTGTTTGCTTTACTCTTACTCTCATATTACACCGTTTTATCCAATTTCATGATTGTTCTTATCTGGTTAGCACTGACGAAAATTTACAACTCAGGTTGAAATATCGGCACACATTAAAATAAGTTTACTTATTTGTGTTTTTATCTTTTTCGACGGCACCCATCAATAAACTTCAAGAACAATAATGGGCTCTTCAGCCAATGATACGTTTAATTCTCTACATCACAATCTATTACGTGTGACTGAATATAAACACGAATAATTCACAGTAAATTAAATCGAAATTATTTTGTCAATAATTAATTGAATTCAACAGAGCACAATAATTTATAGTATTTACTGTCTACGAGTTCAACAAATGCATTTGTAAATCTAATTTAGTGATTGGACTCTGTCCAGCTATAGTTATATGTAATTAAATTTATTAATTTTAGTAATTGTGTGTCTAGAAGTCTTGTTTCTAAAAGTTTCACATGTTTATGCTATCGTGGATTGTACGTTTGTTGCCAGAAGCTAAAATAGTCGTTTTCCCTTACCTGTGTGTAGTCAAGTTAGCAGTTGTTATAGGCAACTTCTGACTTCTTCGAGGAGTTCGATTGGTTTTGTAGAAATTTTTTGGAGGTCTCAGTCCGTTGACTAGAGTAGCGGAATAGCATGTTAAAGTGCTGATTAGGTTATTACGAAGGGAGGATCTTATAACCTCTTATATATTATGAGAGGGGAGGAAAGACGTCTTAGGGTCTTATAATATGAGAGTTGACTGTTACTTGCAATCCCAACAACTTTTATTCATCACAAGGTACAGAAATACTTTTCACATAATATTCGACCTACATTTTAGTGAATTTTTCAAAGTCATTACATTTTTGTTTATTCACAATATTTACAACTGTATTAAAATAAAAATACAGTAAATGAATGGAAATATAATGACCTGAAAACACTTGTTGAGAACCCACTGGTAGCACTTTAATAATATATCTACATAAGGAGATCACGAGGCCAACTTCTTTTCAGACGCCTCGGAGGATTGTCAGGGATCGAAGAGGAAGTAAGATTTGAAATGAGAGGGTTCGTATGGCTCTGAAATTTTGTATGAAATGATAGGTAGGCATATGAATTGGGACGAATAGAAAACACATGGTACATTTAGGTCTTTATGGATGATTTTATTTGTGACTAAGTAAGGAGAATTGAGTATTTTACTAAGGACTTTGGATTGTAAGGATTAGACATGAGAACAATTAGATGGTTTAGTGGAACCCTAAAGCTCAATTCTGTAAGTCCCAACAGGTCTTATTATGTGCATATGAGTATTTTGTAATTAATTGAAAGTTTAGAGCGTCTGTCTAGTGATTGTTAAAGTTTCTTGTTTTGATCTTCCAGTTCATAACTAAATTTTATGCTTACAATTTGCAAATTGTCACGCACGCACCTTGTTATGTTCAGTATCCATTACTCTCCTTTGGATAATCTCCACCGTTATTATCAATCCAATAATAATTTGAAACATAATGATTACGTAATTTAAGTTTATTTGAGTTTATTTTGTTGTTGTTTATACGAAAGAGGATATGTTATGCTAATCAACTGGAAATACATGTTATAACTTTTAGGGATTATTAGCATTCGTAAATGAATTATTTTTTGTCCTTCGTATTGCTAATTAGTCTTCTTCCTCTCCGCTTGTGGTGTTTGGTTAGCCCGGTTCGAAGTCCTGACCTACCTCAAATCCCAGGGATTCTCGCCAAAGATAGTCCACCCCCCAAAGACACCCCTTCCCCCCCAGGGAGCGGTCAGGAAATGAGGAAAGATTGCTATAAATAGCCTGAGAACCCGCTCCGATTAACCCGTTGGACTCGATAGGACCAGAATGAGAAGAAAGCTACTCTTACATCAACAGCCTGGAAGGTTCTCCTGGCCAAGGACAGGAGTCCTGCGGCTTTCTCCTCTTCCTGCGAGGACCGTTAACGCTTCCGTTCCTGGCACCGCCTGGCGTCCTCAGGATTCGCCAATACCTAGCTATACAAAACGATTATTATTTAACCGGAATGTTAAATAACAGCCGTTTAGTTGAATTAGGACGTGTTGTTATTATCTTATGGTTCAGGAGATAAATCCTGTTCAACTTAGTAATTGGTTGAGGATTAATCATATCTTCGGCAGCTATAAGAACCATTACTCCGGACTTTATCGAATTCCTTAGCCTGTTTTATATAATATTTCATTCATTAAGAAATCCACAGGATAATATGAACTATACCCAATCTGAAGCTGAGACTAATTCATTCAGGTTTGTGGACATAAGGAATGAATCATTAGAAAGTTTAGGAAAATTTAAATTCAGATGAGAAAATAAGAAATATTACCGCTTATCTTAATCTCAGTCTTGCTAGAATTTTAATTGAGCATAATATTGGTAATTAATTAACCATTACCTTTTAACAACCCAAACGAATGCTCTACAACCATAATATTTAATTCTATGAATGGAATTTCGATAGAAGGGTTTGGTCGTTGATATTGTTTAAGTTGTAACTTTAAGAATCAAATAACAGTGTTTCTTTTTGTGTTTCTTAACTTATTTATTGACAAATATTACAATCTGTCTCAAAGGACATTTATAGTAGTGTTCAGAGATCACATTAACACTCTATGTACAATAAATAAAATAAATTATACAGAAAAATAATATATATACAATTAATAAGAATAAAATAACCTAAAAATAAATAAATAAAAAGAACACATACATACCTATATACACTACTTACAAAGAACTCCGAGCCAGACTTGTCCCTCCAACTGTGGAGGGAAAAGCATGATTCCAGGAGATCCCTGCACTTCTCTCTCAACCGCGTCACTGGAGCAAAACCCCGTGGAGATTGAGTAAGAGTTTCTAGCCGTTTTTTCTTTATCCTCTTTTTTTTCCTTTTTTTTATTACAAATATGTTTATCCTCAAAACGTTTTTTAATTTTTATTGTTTATAAATTATCATCGAACATATTGCGTGTATTGTTTGAATTTGTATTAATTTTGCCTTTGGCTAGTTATGTGTTTTGTTTATTTGTAGCCACTTATTACTGTTATGGAACTTGTACCATAATGAAGTTTATTTTCTATTCTATACTAATTACAACAATGTTTATAAATAGTTTCTGATAGGTCATATCAGAAGCTGAAGAAGTGTTTTTCGTAATCATTAGTGTTTTCACAATTTACTACGAGTGAAAGTTAATGTTAAGTATCAATTAATTAAATTACTAATTATGTAGAAACAGTTACGAATAATTATAATTTTAGAGAAAAAAAAATTATTTGTGGTAAAATATATTATTTTGTGGTCGTCAAGAAATTTATTGAATTATTGAATTGAGAGAGGGTCCACAAGCGATAAAAGTAATTCTTGTCCAGTTTATGTACAGGTATAATAAAAACATATCTACATCTGCAAAATAGTTAATGAAATATGCAAATAAATGTAATTTTTAAAAATTTATTTGATGTGTTTTCCCCTTATTCACTTTTTTTTGTTTTATTTATTTGTATACTATATTTTTTCTCATCAAGCAGATACGTATAAATATAATAGTAATAAGTCGTTAGTTGTAATTATATCATAATCCTTTCTTGTAATATAGAAAAAAAAATAATCGTTATTATTTTATAATTATTATAAAATAAATAAAATTATTATACTTATTTAGTTCACATTTTAATTATATTCTAACTTATTTTTTATTAGAATGTTATTCGAAATATTTCTACCACAATTCTATTTTATTTTTATTATAATTTAAAGCATAACAATCAATAAAAAATTAATTAAATCGAGTAATTTGAAGCAGAGTTGGGCGTTAGCGCGCTAATTTTTAACTAGCTAACGTAGCGCTAAACAGCTAAAATTAGCGGCGCTAAATATTACGCTAATTTAGCTTCCAGCTGTTTTAGCGCAGATAACTTTAGCGCTAAATTAGCTATTAGCGGAAACGAACCGCTAACTTTTAGCTTAAGCTAAATTATCTATTAACTTAACTAAAAGCTAACTTAACGCTAACACTAGAACAAATTTTATTTATTTCATTTTATTAATTGATATTAGGATCGACTGTTATGTAATCAGGGGCGCTTTTTATGAAAATTGCCCCGGGCACCGACTTTTTGTAACTTTTCTGATTTAATCGATATATGGGTCCACTATTAGATATTAGGGGGCGTTTATTATAAAAATATTGTCGGATTTTAGACACGGCTCCCCCCCCCCGGGAACCGACTTTTTGTTACTTTTCTGATTTAATCGATATCAGGGCCGACTATTAGGTTTTGGTGGGCGCTTTTTATGAAAATAATGTCGGATTTTAGGTGTGAACCCCTCTCCCCCCCCCGGGCACCGACTTATCGTAACTTTTCTGATTTTATCGATATATGGGTCGACTATTAGGTTTTGGGGGGCGCTTTTTATGAAAATAATGTCGGATTTTAGGTGTGACCTCTCCTCCTCCCCCCCGGGGACCGACTTATCGTAACTTTTCTGATTTAATCGATATCAGGGCCGACTATTAGGTTTTGGGGGGCGCTTTTTATGAAAATAATGTCGGATTTTAGGTGTGACCCCCCCCCCCCCCCCGGGCCTCGACTTTTTTTTAACTTTTCCGATTAAAGCGATATTAGGGTCGACTATTATGTTTTGGGGGGCTTTTTATGAAAATTATATCAAATTTGAGATTGGGCCCCCGGGCCTCGATTTTTTTAATTAAATCGATATCAGGGTCAACTCTTACGATATGGGGGGCGCTTTTTATGAAAATTATATCAAATTTGATATTGGGCTCCCCGGACCTCGACTTTTTTAAACTTTTTTGATTAAATCGATATCAGGGTCAACTCTTACGTTTTGGGGAATGATTTTTGTGAAAATGATATCGAATTTGTGATTGGGCCCCCCAAGCCTCGACTTTTTTAAAACTTTTTGGATTAAATCAACATATGGATCGACTATTAGCTTTTCGGTGGGGCTTTTTATGAAAATAATGTCGGATTTTAGATAGTGCCCCCGGGTACCGACTTTTTGTAACTTTTCTGATTTAATTGATATATTGGGTGACTATTAGGTTTTCGGTGACGTTTTTTATGAAAATAATGTCGGATTTTAGAGAGTGCCCCCGAGCACCGACTTTTGGTATCTTTTCTGATTAAATTGATATAGGGTTCGATATAATCCGAAATGTTACAAAAAGTAGGGCCCCGGGCAAATCCAACATCATTTCCATAAAAAGCGCCCCCAAAACCTAATAGTCGACCCATATATAGATAAAATCAGGAAAGTTACGATATGTCGGTGCCCGGGGTGGGGAGAGGGGTTCACACTTAAAATCCGACATTATTTTCATAAAAAGCGCCCCCAAAACCTAATAGTCGACCCATATATCGATAAAATCAGAAAAGTTACGATAAGTCGGTGCCGGGGTGGGGAGAGGGGTTCACACTTAAAATCCGACATTATTTTCATAAAAAGCGCCCCCAAAACCTAATAGTCGACCCATATATCGATAAAATCAGGAAAGTTACGATAAGTCGGTGCCCGAGGGGGGGGGGAAGGTCACACCTAAAATCCGACATTATTTTCATAAAAAGCGCCCCCCAAAACCTAATAGTCGACCCATATATCGATAAAATCAGAAAAGTTACGATAAGTCGGTGCCCGGGGTGGGGAGAGGGGTTCACACTTAAAATCCGACATTATTTTCATAAAAAGCGCCCCCCCAAAACCTAATAGTCGACCCATATATCGATAAAATCAGGAAAGTTACGATAAGTCGGTGCCCGAGGGGGGGGGGGGGGGAGGGAGGTCACACCTAAAATCCGACATCATTTTCATAAAAAGCGCCCCCCAAAACCTAATAGTCGACTCTAAGACCAATGAAATCCGAAGAATTAGCTATTAGCTTTTAGCTGAAGATACAGATAAAGATAATTAGCGGTTAGCGGTAAGAACAGCTAAAAGTTAACTTGCGCTAAAAGTTAGCGGCTTGGTCCCGCTAATAGCTAATTTAGTTGCAGAATTATCTGCCCGCTAATAGCTAATTTAGCTGTTATCTGTTATCTGTTAGCTATAGATAATTTTTGCCCAACACTGATTTGAAGCAATAAGAACACACTATGACTCACATGTAATTGCAATAATTTTCTCGCGGAATGCAGTTCTGGGTCAGTCACCTTTCCCTTAAGCTCGGCTAACCTTTAAATAAATTGAAACTCAACAATTTCAGTTGTAAAATAATATAATAATGGAACGGTTTTATGTTTATTATTACTTTTTATAAATAATATTATTATTTCAATTTACAGTACGAAGTCAAATATGTGTAACTCTAAAATCATGTTAAATTTATATTGCTGATATCTCCTTATTAATTGTAAATCGCTGTTACTTATTTTACTTTTGTCATGTTATCGTATATTTTTTATTAAAAAACAGATACAAAATTATTAACAATAATACGCAATATTAATCCAAAAAAAGAACATATGTACAAATAAAATAATAATAAATAATAAATAATTGCTGTTAAATTTGTTAAATATAAATGTGAATAAGGACGAACAATTGATAAAATGTTATGTAAGTTAAATGAGTGATTGATCTATGCAGCTCAATATAATCTATTTGTAGAAATCTTGGTTTACTGAGCTTTAATCTATGATTTATATCCTGATAAATACTCAGAGTTATGGCTTAGAATATTATTCATAATTATTTAAACAAATGTAAGTTTACGATTCAGATTCGAAAAAAAAGTTCTTGATATTTAAGGTTTATTTTAAAATTATTTTCAATATTAATAAATTTGAAAATTAATAATATTACTAATATTTTTATAGAATAAGAAGGAATCACTCAAAAACAGTTCAATTTTAAGTACACTATTGTAAAGTAGACAAAATTTTTTTGAGAAAACAGTGATTAAATTTAGTGAGGTCAATGATAAAAGGGACTTTCAGGTCAAATATGGAGGCTGTACTGCTGCAGTCCTGTAAATTGACCTTAGTAAATTTGATAA